TCCCTACATAAAAGATACTGATGCATTGCAAAGTTCAAATTGCCTATTCATCACTTGATCAAGTAAAGCAATTGTGCTGTATGTAAAAGGAAATTTTCCTCCCAGGCCTCCAACCATATTTGTGTTTTTTTTCTGCCTCAACATTTTTTTTTTTTTTTTTTAAACAATGAGGACAGCATAATTGGGTAGAAGACACTGACTTCAGTCTTGCCATCAGCCATGGAATCCAGTCCAGGGATTTCAGCACCGAGCCTTTAATTTGTAAAGTGATTGGATTACAATTAAATTAATCCTTAGTGATGGAAAAGCCACCCCTATCCCTCAGCAAGTTGTTTCTGTGGTTAAATTATGCATCTTATTTTTAGTTCGTGTTTTCTTGTGTCAGCTTCCAGCTGGTGATTGTGAGCAATCCAATCTATGCCTCTGAGTGTGTGTATGTCAGTTCTTACAAAGCAGATACAAAGCTAGATTAGATGGGTTAGTTTATGGCTCAGGGAATAAGCCGAGTGTTCATCTGCCTGGGGTCTCCTTCTGACTAAGATACTCTAGGACTGTTTATGGCTTCTTCTGAAGTTGCTGGTAGCAACTGCTATAGGAGCTCTGACCCAGCCTGGTATTCTTATGCTATACATCCAGGGTTTGCCATAGGCCCACAGGTGTGAGGAAAAAAAAAAACGACACCAGAATCAGGACACTGTTTGAGAACTGAAGGCCCAAATGCTCCAAATGTAAGGCTGCAGGTGTCTGGCTGCACAGCATGCACTGAAGTAGGGTAGAAACATGGCCCCATCTGGAAGCAAAATTCCCACCGACTTGGATTGATCTCAGTTCAGGGACAGGATTGCTGGCTTGGGCCTGGCTTCTTTGAGAGCTGTTCTCTGTAATGTGGATGTCCTCTATAGGAATCTGTTCTAGCAAAGAATAGCTGGGGCACAAGATGATCCTAGCTACATCCCTTTCTCACCTATTCATTCTTCTGCCTGCCCTTGCCATGTGCCCATTCCACCAAACTCCCCAGCATGCCACTTACACAGCCAAGTCATTGTAGGTGTGGCACAGGTGGTCCTGCAGCCTATTTATTTCCAGTCTCTGCTCCTGTGGAAAAAAAGACAAGGTTCCCAATGGACTCAAGGGTGATGGATTTGTTCTATATAGCCCCATATCACCAGGGGCTGTTACAGTAAGCCAAAGGCCCAGTTCAGTTGTTTGCATTTTATTAACAAAAAAACAAAAAACAAAACAAACAAACAAAAAATCAGCCCTGACCCAATAAAAAGTCTTTCGTCAACATAGATGGCCCATCGGGCTGGCATGGTTAAAGCACAGCAGTTTCTGCAGCCCATGGCATGCAAAGAAGTGATGTGACCAGCATCATATCCAGCCATCTTTGATTCCCCAGCCCAAAATAGTCAGGTACAGCTTGGTTTACTGGAAGCAGCCTTCAGCACATAGAACAAGGGTTCAATGTCTAGAGCAAGGGTTCAAACCTCCCCTTAAATGCTAATGCTCTGTCACAGTGTTGCTTGTACAATAAACAGGCATTTTTGCCTACTTGCAAGACTGCCAGCTCTACAAAAGCTCTTTGTGGATAGTATATAGGCTTAGCATATAGTCAGTGTTCCAGCTCTACTCCTAGCTTCTGGCATGGGAGGATACTGGAGGTGTGGTCTGAGTGCACCACTGTGGATAAAGTAAGGGTAATTTGGGGGAGTGGGCAGAGGTGAAAGTCAAAAGGTGTCCCAGGAGACTATAGGGAGCAGATTATTACAAGTTAGAGGCTGATCTAAGTTTATCAGGACTCTTGCATGCTGCTCTAGGGGCATGGAGATAGCTTAAACTCCACCCTACCTTGTCCCAGCCCCACATGCAGATCTGGAATAACTGAGATTGGGGCACAAAAGAACTCCCTTTAACTGCTGACTCTGGCAGCTGCCACTCTTCCATTGTTAGTGGCCTCTTTCCCCCTTGCACCTTAGAGCAGCACTGGCTAAATAAACTAAATCACAAATGTAGTTCAGTGTGGGTTCTTGTCTTCAAATGGCTGAGGTCCAAGAGATTTAAAGTCCACACTGCTCTGTCAGAGGATTTTAATTACTTCTATTGCAGGCAGTGGAGAATCATGCATTTAGATTCTCAGCTCAAAGATTCAGGGCCTGCCAATGGTCCAACCCTCTTGAAGCCACTCAGCATAGTTTGGTCTCTTTTGACACCACAGGCTGTGGACTGGTATTCAAAGAGACCTGTAGCTCAGCCTAAGATCCTGGGATAAGCTCGACAAAACCCCTCTCACTCAGGTAGAATGATTAACACAGGCATGAGGAAGAACCAAGGCAGGAGTGCTATGGAGTGTCAGTGTCCATTACCTGCACCACCATCCTGTACTCTTCCACAGTTGCTGCTAGCTCCTCAGCCCAGTTGGTTTTCTGCAAACAGAAAAGTCAGAGAAAGCACCTAAAGTCATTACAGAGTAAAACTCATCTCATTCGTGATGGTTTAGTGACACCTGATGGTACTAGCAGGACACAGCATGCCAAACAGAACAAAGGCTGGAATGCTGGTTTGGTTAGATGTTCTAGGTTTAAATACCAGAAAGAATCACCAATTCCAACCTCTGGAAAGCACATGTACCAGAGAATGCCACCAAGTATTTTCTGCATCCCAATTATTTGTGGCCAATAATTAAATTATTTACTGCATTAAGAATGATCCACTGCAGGTCAGCAACCAATGGAATTAGTGACACAGAGATGGACAGAACAGGAAATACAATACTAAAGCCACAGTAGCACACTCGCTCTTTGAAGTTATGTGCAAGTTGCTCACCTCAGTAAGGGCAGCATCTTTGCAGGAGATGACACGTTCATATTCGCAAAGCTGAGACTGGAGAGAGGAAAAGAAGAGGTCTTAACTGCATCTGATCTCTTCCCAGTACTTGGTGCTTAGCTCTTCCTCAGATATCTTGACAAGCTTTATACTCATTATTAAATCTTAAAGCCCCAGTGAGAAAGTGAGTCAGAAACTACCACAGTTTTACAAGGAGGCAAGCATGGACACATAGAAAGGATTTGGTCCCTCCAGGTCACACCATAAGCCAGTGACAGTCAGGAATGAAATCCAGGAGTTCTGACATCCCACTCAGCTGCTCTAAGCCTCCAGGCTTGCAGTTCCAAACTTTAGATCAATGGACTGAAGTGCCACTCCTCAGAATTTCACCCACCTCTATCAAATTTGATTGAAAAAGGGAGGTTAATTTCACAGACCATCTACTATGGCTTTATAGCCCCAGCAGTTTGTGCGCCAGTTTGGAGACCATAGTTCTACACAACTGGCTCTCCTACAAATGCAAGTGGCCAAGAAAAAAAAAAAATCAGAATGCCCATCCCACAAGGAAATCACAGGGGATTAACATTTCTACTCCATCTGGACCCACAATGAAAAGTAGGATTAATTTCACAAAAAATTCCACTGATCTGTTCTGACTTATTTCTACTTTTATGCTTTAAAATATAGTATCACACGGTAATAACATTCAAAACAAAAGATTTTCATCAGAATGCGCTGATTTTTTTAAATTCTTGATAAGAAAACACTTATTTGGTTCACTTGGCATTTCTTTAATTGCAAAAACATTTATAAGGGACCTTTTAGCCAATTCCACCTGCCAAGTAGGAGGATACATCTCTTTATAGCAAAAACAACCTCATGATGGCAATACAGGCTGTATGTATTCAGCACTGCTGCAAATCAAATTATTAGTGTCTGGTGTGAAGACACCATGCAGGTCTCTGTGGTTTTTACCTTCATTTCAGCTTTCTCAGTGCCCAGCACTTCAATTTTCTGTCTCTTCCCCTCTCTCTCTGTGATGAGCTTTCTGTTCTATGAAGCAGCCACAAAAGATGTTTAATATTAATAAACCATACCAAACAGACATGGGAAGAACATGATCTAACTGTTCAAAAGGCTTTACCACCAATGAACGCAGACAGTGCTGCAATGAGTATGCAGCAACACTACACCCTAGGTTAACACAGGAAGTGAAAATTAAATTTCACATGCATTTGAAATTGCAGGAAAAACTAACTGGTCTAATAAAAAAGATATTGGATTTACCCAAAGAACCTTGTCTGCCTTTGTCCTTAGACCAACATGCTACAGCCTACACCCCAGAAAAAGCTAAAGGCACTTAAATGCAATTGAGCCTCTGGAGGATGATCAGGAGACACGGCTTAATAAAGTCTCTTCTGATGAAAGATGCAGACCACAACCAGCCAGGACCTTGGCTTTACACTTTGGATGCAAAATAGCAGATTCAACTGCCTTACAGTTACAGAAGGTTCTGGCGTCAGCACAGATGAAGACAGGAGAGTGTCCCTATTGAACTCTCTGCCCCACATCACTCACCAGTACCATACTGGAAGACTGGATTCATTGATGGGCTATTTTCATAATCTAGTCTCATCTCTAGCATAACAGGTGAGATACTCCTACCCAGGAACTGTTGGTCTCTAGCTAGACTATCTTTCTACAATATATCCAAGTTTGACTTAGATTTCGAGGACCAGAGAATGCATTACCCTGTTGATAAATTGTTCTGGTGACTAATCATCAGTCACCTTCCCTGTTAAAACATTTGCCCCCAGTTTCTACCAAGTTATCATCCTTCTTTCTTGCAGCTGCTGGATGTTTCTTCTCACCAGGTGTGTGCTAACAGACTGTGGTCAAGTTTATTTAACTTTTTCTTTGGTAAACTAAATAGATTGTAGTACACTGCATGGCAGTATTTCCAGACCTAGAATTATTCTTGTAGCAATTTCCTGAATTCTTCCCCAATTCATTACCGACTCCGAGGGGAGTGGGGTCTTGCTGTCATCCATTCCAATTCTGGCAGCGCCTTTGCTGCTCTTCAGTGGTTGTGCTTTAAAGCATGGATTCTGAATTTACCTGCTGATGCTCTCATCCAATATTATTCTTCAAGCCATCCTCACCTCCTCTTGAAGGTCATCCACTTGTACAGAGAGACACTGCTGTTCCTTTTCCTATGAAAAAAGGGGAAAGAATGGGGAGATGTTGAGGGGTGGAGACCCTTGGTCCAGGCTGCTGGTGTTATGTGTCATCAACTCATAAATTTATTCTCATGCCTCCCTGAAATCCCAGCACAAGAGGCCACAGGCCCTGCAACAGCTGCGCTGGGATGACAAGCCATTCACAGCTACAGCAAATGGGGAACTAGTAAACATCCAGGGGTTTTAAAAAAGGAAGGTACATTCAGTGCTGGCCAAGAGTGCCAACTTAAAAGAAAAACAGGGCTGGAAGGGACCTCTTGAGGTCATTTCATCCAACCTCCTGCTCAAGTAGTGATCCAAACCATCCCAGAAAAAATATTTATCTAACCTGAACTTAAACACTTCTTGCAACAAAGATCCCACATAACCTCTCTTTCAGCACTTCACCTCACTCAGAATTCTTGCTAATATCTAACCTAGATCTCTTTAGCTGCATGTGTTCCTATGGTGGGTTAAGGAAGCAATGATCAGTGACTAGAAAGGGTGTGTGTTACACCCCTCCCCCCACATCTTATATTTTTACAAAAAAAAAAAAAAAAAAATCAAATCTCCTTAGCTGCAATTTATTGGCAAGCCAGTAACTACTTGTCCTGTCTCCTGTACATATAGAGAACAATTGATTGCCATCCTCTTAATAGAAGCTCATTTTGTATTTGAAGACTTTTTATCCCTCTAAATGGTGATAGTATGGGCAGCCAGGAGGGAAAAGTTCTCCTTTGCACATGGGTATGATATGCCCCCTGCTGATGTTCATTTATACCAGATGAGAACCTAAGAACGCTGTGTAAATCACAGTTGAAATGGATGCAGCTCCACCAATTTAGTTCATCCAAGAATCAGGCTCTAGGTGTTAGGAACCATGGTTTTTAGTCTAGTACCAGATGCATTTGTAATGCACTGGCTCATCTCATTGGGAGTGATGCTGAGACCTCACCAACTCAGGACATGAGACAAGAGGTTGGTTTCTCCTGACCACTTTCAGACCCTCCCTCCCCTCACCTCAGTTTTCTTCCAAGAGAATGCAAAGCAGTTTGTTCTCTTGGGTGGATACATGATTGTAGACTTGTTAGTAGCCAGATGGAGTCTCAACAGGATTCCTTACATGACTTATCCAGCCAAACAGTAAAATCAGTTGCAGTTGCCTGGGGTTTTTGTCTGCATCCTGGCTGTCAGTACAGCTATTTCCTCCTCTTCCCCCGCTGAACTCACTCCTCCTAGAGCTGGGACAGAACCCAGGATTCACATGCCTACTCTACTACTATCCATAAAGAAACAGGACAGCTGCTTAAAACCAGTAGGCAGGGAAAATTCTGCTAAACTAAAGCACCTACCAGCTGCTGGGCTTGGGTGTGAAGTCTGACTTTTTCCTCTTCTAGCCTTTTTTCAATAGCCTTCAGGTCTTCTAGCTCATTAGCTATGTACTTGGCTTGTTCCAGTGCCTGCTGCATACTATCAAGGATAGCAGCTGGTGAGATGGTGCAGTAACTCGGGGCTTCTTAATTAGCAAGGTCAAGGGGAACTGACTGGGCAACTGTAGTAAAGAACCAAGTCTCACAAAATAAAATAGGTCCTGGATGTACTAGAATGTTTTGTCCATGCAGCTCTTATTGGCTTACAGTTGCTGACACTTTTCCTGCTGGAGCATGTCCACACCTGGCTGCTTGTGCCATTACAGCATGTGTCCCCTGTGAGCAGCTGTGTTGGCAAGACATGGATAGGAGCCAGAGCTGCCAACATTGCTGTATCACTGCACCACATCCACCCTGGCATTGCACCACACTGAAGCCAGTGCTGACTGAATACAGAACACCATCCCACTGAGTTCCCCAGACTGCTCCCTGCCCCATGATACCCACTATGGCAAGAGTCAAGGAACCAGCCCTGACTAAAGGGAGTGGACACCCTCTTGAGTCTCTCTATTCCATTCCCTGCCACAGCTGGGACTGTCTTCCATCCCTCCATTTTACCCTCTTAGCTGGCCCTTCAGCTCAGAGATCTCTTCAGTAAGCCGGGAATTGATCTCCTCAGCTGACTCAATGGTCCTCTGCAACTTGGCATTCTGCACAGCTAGCTTCTTGTTGCTACACTCTAGGTCTTCAATAATGCTTGCAAGAGCCACAGCCTCTTCCCTAAACCAGCAGAAAGGAAGAAGGAGATGTCAGCAGGGAGATCTGTGATCAGATGAGCCACTTTCACATCCCATCTTATAGTAAGCAGCCCAATGCTGTAGAAAGTACTCTTGGTTAAGGATCAGGTTCCCTTCAGGCCTAGTCAAAGCTACATTGAGAGTCCCAGCCTCAACAATCCATTCTGTCACTGAGAATGCCAGTGAAAGAACAGTTTGAATCCAGCCGCTCAACATCCTGTTCAGAGGCACAGAGAGGGAAAGGGACCAATGCCAGGTCCCACAACAAGCCAGTGTCAATGTAAGGAGAAGACCCAGAAGTCCTGAATCCTAGGGTTCCCAGAAGCACTGCCCCTCTGAATCCAAGTCTCTGGAATGTTTCCATGAGATTAAGTTTATAGTATTTAAGCCCAGAAGGGACTATTATATTTTCTTGCCTGAACTCCCATGTAGCACATGCCTTTACATTTCACCCAGTTACACCTATATTGGGCTTGTGTTTTGCTAATGCATCTCTTCTAGAAAGGTATCCAGTTTGGATCTGAAGACAGCAAGACAGGGAATCTCCTGCATCCCCTGGGAATCTCCTGCATCCCCTGGGAATCTGTTCCCCTAGCCTGAGAGGATCCTAACTATTTAAAATTCAGTAAAATATCTGGAAATATACGAAGGTCCAAGCCTACCGTGATCTTCTGTGGCAGAAGATTCCATGCAAACATTTCAGTCCTCCTTTGACAATAAGTTAGTACTTACAAGTTGCTGGTGTTGAAGTCCCCACCATAGCCCTCTAACTGAGCAGCATTACCTGCTGCCTTCCTCTTTTTCCCTAAAAAGGGGATAGAGATTAGTTTTCGGGGTGCGGCTTTGCAGTGGCTTTCTGGTCCCCATCCACTCTGCTGCCACAAATAAGTGGGGCATCAGAAAAGTAAACACTGGCAGGGAATTAGCAAATAGCTCCTGCTCACTAGGCAGGTGAGGGAGGGGAGGGGAGGGGAAGCAACTGGTCTTGAAAGTTGAATGCAACTTATTTCTGAAAGACCAGTGAGCTAATGACAGGGTCCATGAGAGGTATCATGCCACTCAGAATAGACTTCTAATCAGCTTTAATGTAGGGCATGGGGGAATGATGCGACATCTGTGTTTCCCCAATCCTGGAGTTAGCCAGACACCACTCTGATTCTCCACATAAGACAGAGCTGCCTGGGGGAGTACTTTGGTATGTGCCTGGCTGTTCGTAGGCCCTTGGAAGTATTACAGTAGATGGAAACAGCTAGAATATAGAGCTATATTCATCATGTCTCCTTCAACCCACCCATGTTTCCTACGCTAAAAACCTGTTATCTCTATTACCTACATCCCCATCTTCTCTCTTTCACCTGTTCTTATACTGCATCCATCACTATAGATGTTCACATAACTTTTCATTAATCTGAGATGCTCAGGTTATAACAGGGAGTGAGGACTCAAGTTCCATTTCCATCAGTGGGAGCCCCCTGCCCCAACATTGGGGGAAGCTTCCAAATCACCAGTTAAACTTGGTTTCTTTCCATTTTGCAGAAGCCCAGAATCTGTCCTCTGTAGTCTGAGCCACAGACTTGCTCACTCACACAAACCAACATAATCAAATGCCACCCGTTGCCCTTCTACACTAATCATGTTCTGTCTAATCCAGACCAGGAAGGAAGAGAGAGGCAGCAATTGATCTTTCTATATTAGCAAATGCTCAGGAGGCACTAAGATACTGCAGCTGTGGGGTGAGTGGGGAAGAGGAAAGCTGTTCTATGAGTGTATTTCAAAACCCAGGAGAATTCTGGGTACCTTTGGCATAATGAACAAAGAGAAAGGCCCCATTTCCCAAGGGCGCATTAAAAAACTGTCTATATTTAGCACTAAATACACCATCTTTCTTTTTTTCCTCTCCCCTTTATCCCTTTCAGCACAGGCACCTACCAGATGGTAACAGGCAAATATTGTCCACAAACTTGTCTTGCTCTTTGGTGCACTCTAATCCCCTGGAACATAAATTAATAGTTATCATTCCTGCTTTATTGCTGTCTCCATGAAATGGATCACCACATGCTCTGGCTGTATCGGGTGACCTTTCTTTATTCACCATCCGCCTCTAATAAGCAAAAGGATGGAATGAGTTCTCTCATTTCACCAGGAGGTTTTGCAATAAAGTTGCTTAATCAGTTGCATGTCAACAGGGGGGAAACATTCAGATCTGAGGGATGCAGGCAAAAGAGGAAGGCCACCCATGTTGTCTTAGATATAGCTGTGACGACAAAGCCAGGATAAGATCTCACTCTGCATTTCATCTTGTTTTTATTAGAAGGGAATGGAGCTGATTTGGGAACTTTTTTTGGTGAAAGACTAAAATGGACAGATGGCAAAGGTATACAGAGTACTGAACACAGATTCTGTAGCAGTCTGACCTAGGAATTACAGTAAAGGGACTTCTGGATTCTATTCCTACCTTTGTAAATTAAGTCAGGTGATTAAAGCAAGGGACTGAAAGTGAGGACCCCTGGGTTCTACTCTCAGCTCTTGGAGGCAATACAGATAAATGAGTAGGACAGAGAAAGACTCTGAGGTTCTGTTTCTGTGATTTTTTTGGTTGAGGAAGGTAAAAGTGGGGCTGGGAGCCAAGACTCTGGGTGTTCTAATCTAAGCTCTTTCCAAATGTGTTGCCTAGGAAGTTAGAACAGGCAGGGATACAAGGCAAAATTGGATTCCCACTTACTGACTGTATGACTTTGGTAGCCTCTTAAAGCTAGGTTGTTAAAGGTAGATAGGCACCTGAAGATGTACAGGCATTTTTTTAGAAGTGCCTGGATACCTAATGCCTGTTGGGTTTGTTTTGTTAAATAGACATCTTTGCAAATCCTACTAGGCAGCCCTTCTGCATTTTAGGCACCTAAATAGCTTTGTGTATCACCTATTGCCTCTCTGTGCCTCAGGAGTGGTGATTAAGCTATGCAAGTTCTTAAAGCAGCTTCCAATGACCACTGACCCATCCCGTCGACAGTCTGAGATCCAATCCTTCATGACAGCATGGAAGGTTGGCAGATCCACAGCAACTCCCCTTTCTTCCGGGTCCAGCATTTTATAAAGAGATTGCAGTCTCCCTTCCTCACAGCTTTGACCCGTCATGGCCTGCAAGTACTCAATAATCCGGAAAACAGGTACCTTTCCTGCAACCCAACACAGAGAAAGCAATGATCACAAACAGGCAGCAAGCACATCTTCAGGCATTTCCCCTCCAGTTTTTCCACCTGTAAAGTGGGGATAAGACCTCCTTTATCTCTGCCCAGTAGCTAGACTGTAAGTTCCCTGCGGCTAGGTCTGCGTTTTTACAGTGCTTGGCATAATGGGCTGTGGTCTCCCCACTACTGAATAAATAAGTAGTAGCAAAGAGAATCATTTGCTTTATTTCTTTTATGCCTGCTTTCCCTCATAGTGAAGTTTGGCACTGTTAAGCCTCTAGGGTAGCTACCAGGAAAGTTAAACTAAAATTAGAAAAGGATTTTTGACATAAGGCATCAGTGATCACGCAGCAGTTAGGTGCTAACAATAAAAGAGATGCTGGAATTACTGTATGATATAAAGCATCGACTACAAGACCTCTTCTGAAAGTTGGCTCTTCAAGCCACATCAAAATGGCTTGAAGAGCCAGCTCAATAAAATGGCCTTGTTTTCAGAAGAGCTGAGTCCCTCACTGATCTCCTTTTGGCCTGTGTAATTTCTAATGCACAGGGATTAGGTTCTCTTGTAGTTGGTCTTGACAGAGACACGAGCAATGCCTGTCTTGCCAACATTCAAGAGTGCATTTTAGAGAGATTGCATATCCCAGAATGCAGGGGTCCACCTTGTTGCAAACAAAATACTGTTCAGCTCAAGATGGAGCATTGCATGCTGGAAGCTACAGCCCCTATCAAGGGTGTGAGCAACTGTGTGACATTCTGAACCCAGGAGCCAGTAATCTGTGCCCCTTCTCCACAGCAATATAGAACCTCTTCAGTAATGAGTTACTCTGAAATTTACCAGGCAGAGTCCTGTCCATGTAATGTCAACTGAACCATACTTGTGAATTCTTAAGAGTGTAGAAAAATCTCCATCCTGATGATGCTAGATATTTTTAAAGGATTTCAGACATCAGAACATGGGCTGTGAGTGGAAAAGTTTAAGGCCAGGAGATGCGGGAGGGGGTGGGATTTGCTAAATTGGTCTCATCGCAGAAAAGCTTTCAGATCTAAGGCAGACAAGATTCCTTGTGTGAATTTGATATCTTTTATTAGACCAACCCAAATGGTTGGAGAATGGTTATTAAGCAAGCTTTCGGGTTCAAAAACCCTTCGTCAGATCTAAGCGCACTTGACTTCCCAGTACCACTAAAGCTCTTAGCCACAAAGTGCAAATTTCCAGTTGACGTTAGAAAAAGCTTTCTACCTGTTTGTTCCGGATCACAGGCCTCAAAAGTGCAGTTGAGTACATGCTCCTCTGAGCAACCACCCCCGCTCGGAATGCTGCTCTTGGTGCTGAGGACAAGGCTGTTCCATGACACTGGTGAGGAAGAGGAGGAGATGTTACATTTGCAGCAGGACAGAGCATCTTTTGGTGAGGATAGCTTCTAAGTCAGATTACCTGCAAACAAATCCTCCCTTTTGGGCTGTTCCTGTCATACTGTTATGGACTGTGGAATAGTAGGATACTTAGATAAATGTTTTATGAATACACTGTTAGGAACAATCCTGGTATGTTTGACAGCATGGAAAGGGGGAGAATGGTCCAAGGCTACCTAGTCTTTCCCCTGCTCCACCTTTTACAATTCCATGATACACACACATGCACACACCTACGCACCCTGCAAAAATTCCATTTGTACTCAGGGATGTCACCAGGCCAAAATCAGCTTTTAGGCTATGCCAGCTCAATCTAGCTTAATTTTCTTGATTTTAAAATGAAATGTTCTGGACTTATGCTCATGTATTGGCAAAGAGATCCTGGCTTATGAGGTCAAATTGCAAGGATTAATCAGTAAAGAATTTAGCTTGAAGGGCCTATTATGTATAGCCAAAGTGGGCGTGTGTGTGTGTGTGTTTGTCTCTCTATACACAATAACTACCTATCCACCCATTGCCATAATACCTCCTCTTATCTATCCTACAGCAATCATTATGGTACCTAAATGCTATTTGGACTACCCCTCACAACCTGAAGTAACCAAGTGGGCATCCTTAATAATAATATCCAAGTGGAACAGTTTGAATCTGAGGCCTGTGACAAAAGTGATGACTTCATCAGTCTCTACGACTTGCTTAAGTTGAATCGGACTCTGCAAAAAACTCCCCTCAGCATTCCTTAAAGTTTCAGGTAAGTCCCGTCAAGCAGCACTTAGAGGGTCTGAATGCAGAGGGCCTTGCCTTCTTTTCCAGCATCACAGCAAATGCAGTTTTCTTGTATGTTTTTGCCCTGGGGTGGGCACACTTAGCTTCATACCTAAAAGCCCCTTATCCTGCAATCAGGTCTGTGCTCCTACAGCTCTGGTACAGATCTCAGTGCAGAAGGTAGTATGGTTGACAGATAGAGCACTTGGCTGAAGGCATCCCTGTGCTTGAGATAATTTGTTGGTATTGAAACTTATCTAGCAGAAACAAGTGATACCAGTAAAATAATTTGTTTAATCCAGTTCTCCAAATGGAGTTAGCTATACTGCTAACTTGATATATAATTTTTTCTACACAGTTTGCCAGCAGCACAGCTGTATTGGTTAAGGGTGTGATTTCCACCTCTTTCCCCCATATTCTTGGCTAAACTTTTAGGTGAGTATGGAGATTTAGGTTCTGTCCCAGTCTCCACCACAGCCTTTCCTTGGGCAAGTCTGGTCTATCTTATTTTTTTGTCAGTGCTTAGACTGCAAATTGTCTGGGACAATTGTCTCTTACAATGTGCCTGTAAAACCTTACCTCACTGTCGATCATGTTTTCTAGACCCTTGTATAATAAATATGAAGTAATAGCAAAGTAATAATGAATAATAGTTTAGTTCTCGTATTGCAGTTTCAGAGTTATTTAATTTGGTGGTAACATCACTCCCCGCCCTTTTTTCAATTTTTGAATGCCACCCTTTTTGTATCACTAATGCACAGCCACCTAATAGTTCCAGAAAAGAAAGAAGTTGGTTTTGGCAGCAAAAGTTGGGGGCATTTAGCTCATGTGATAAGGGATGGGCAGGAACTATGAAATAAGCAAATCAGCTGTAAGCTTCTGCTAATATTATCAGCAAGGATATAGTTAAAAAATGTTGACATTGAAAGCTAAGCATGATTCTTTCAGAGTCAAAAGAATGGGCCAGGTCTCATCTCTCATCAGGGCAGATTCAGGCTGTCTACAGATTCTGGCAGACAGCATTGTTTTGCTTAACCTTGAAAATGTGACTTCAGGGCTATGTTTGCAGCCATAAGGATTATAACATTGGCCTTGATCCACCAAAGCATTTAATTACCCACTGGAATTTTAAGTATAGCGTTCATATGAAGAAGACTGGGATGTAAAAGATTCAGGTTCTAGCCCCTGCTCTGACACAGCTGTCCCACATGACCCTAGTCATTTCCTCTATGCCTCAGTTTCTCACCTGTAAAATAAGTAGGAAAGAGTTCTTACCCCCAGTAGCAAATAATGCGAGGCACTCAGATACTGCAATAATGGTAGCCACCTGGTATCATAGAGCCCAGAAAAGCAATACTGTACTTACTTCCTGGTGATACAACCATCGACAATTCTGTGGATATCCCATCCTCTTTGGGCTTGAAAGACTGGCTCTCACTTATGCTCACCAGCTGATCTGTTTCTCCACAGGAGCTGGCTTCATTTGAAAGCCACAAGCAAGCCTCCTTTTGGAAGGAAAGCATGCCTTCTGATGCCATTTCACCACCTCATCTGAGCTAGCCTTCAAAGAAACAGGCACCAAATTAAGAATACCACTCCTAAAAATAAGGTATCTCTTGGAAATGGTTTTATTGACAAGCTCTCTTCACACATGGTAATCAAATTGTGTCTGATTACATTCTAGTAGACTAACTGGCTTAAATGAGGGAATCAGAGAAGCTAGCACCACTGCGTATGAATGGACAGTCACTAGCCTAAGGTAGTGGCTGCCCATTCACATTCAGGGAGGTGCTAGCTTCTCTGATTCCTGCATTTAATTAACTACAGCTGTGGTATAGTTTACCACTAGGCCTACCTTGGGATTTCTCCCAGGATCTTGCACCTAACTCTCACTTAATGACTTTCATGGCATGTCTCCTGATTTAAACCAAGGAGGTCTCATATGTGGTCAAAATGAATACCCTTTAACCAATCTGGGAATGGGGGTGTCAGGAAAACAACAAAATAGGACACACACCTGGCTGATGATGGGATATTTAGAATATATAGATTATTTGGAAGGGATTTATTTAGGATGAGCAATTGTTTATGGAGAACAAATAACACCCCAGATCAATGGAAGTTATCACACTTATTGAAGAGGGAACTATTAGTCTACTGAATTATTTGGGTGCAGTAGTTAAAGCAAGTAGTAGCATACAAAATGAGGGAATTTTTTTTATGGATGTTATGGAGGGCTGGCCTATTTATTCTGGGGAGTGCAATATGTAAATTACGTATCCAGTTGAGATAGGGCTGTAATAAACCAGGACAATTTAAATGATAATTTGCCACCTGCCTGCTTATTTGAGAGGATGGATGTGTTAGGAGTGGTTAGCTTGTTTGCAAAGTTACTTGAGTGCTGGCCTATTTGGATACAAAAGCAGGGAGGACATGTTATGGGGGGAGGTGATTTAATTAATGAGGTTATTTGGAGCCTGCTGGTTTATTTGAGAGGGGAGGGGTATTTGGGTCTGAGCATTTTCCTGGCATTACTGTATGTTGCTTTTTTGGCCTTTAGCATGTGGTGGGTGAGGGCAGCATCTGAACCCCCAGGCCTGAGAGCCTGGGACATATGCTTAGATGCCAGCCTGGATATGGGGAGTAGTTGAACCTCTACATAGGATGCTGGCCCAGTTGAAAATATATGGCCCATGGATACTTAAATATATAGTTACTGAGATCTGCTTATCCGGAATTGGAGTTTTATTTGCTATGGGATTTGGACTGAGACAGGAATTAAATTTCTATGACTTCTGTACGGCACAGAAGTCATAGAAAAGTCAGGCTGGAAGAGACCTCCAATGGTCACCTAGTCCAACCCTTTGCTTGAGGCAGGATCATCCCTGTTCAAGACCTCCTGTACAAATCCAGACTCTAAATTGTGTAAAAATGCTCTCACCCCCGACCCAACACAAGACATAACACCCTAACCTGCCACAAGTGAAGCGGGGGAACCATGCAGGGCACGCTGGAGGGATAGGTAGCTGATTCTTTGAGGAAGGGATATTGTTTTATGTTAGTGATTTAAGGGGAAGTATGGAAGGGAGCTTTGAAGTTTGGGAGGAGATCAGCAGTTTTATCTGAGTTATTTAAAGTTACCCCAACACTTATTCCCCACCCAGACAATGGGAGAGACTGATTTGCTTCTGGATCTCCTCTCCCGGTCCCCCCTGCCCAGCCCACTCCTTTAAACCAGGGCATCTATTCCCCTGAGGGAGGCAGAAGTTGCTGCCTCAGAGGAGGGGGAGGGGCGGAGCCACCAGCTTTCTTCATGGGGGGAGTCGCGCGCTCTTTCCAGCCTCAAAAAAGGGCGGGATAATTCAAACGGAGCAACGGTCGCTATTGGAGCGTGCCCCTCCCCCTTGCTGCCTCAGGCACTGGAGGGGGCAGGTCAAACTCAATGTCATCCATGATTTTAAGGAGGCAGAGAAATAGGGGGAGGGATCCCTGAAGTGACTATCACACCTACACACATGAAATAAAGGAGGGATAAGAGTCCTGCTGTGGGACTGTGACCCCACAACACCCCCACAGAGGGAGCATGATCCCAAGCTGCAGGAATCCCTCAAGCGCAAGTGCTTTCCTCCACCTGCCTCACAGACCAGACAGGGTGGATTAAAGCCAGGAGCCGCACAAAAAGCAGCTGCTCCCCACTCCCCCGCCCATGCGCGGTGCTCCCCTTATATTTTGGCAGCTCCTTCAGATTGGTTTTGGTAGGCTTGGAGTGATATTGTAGGCACGATGGTCCAGGTATGATGCAAGGATTTTTGAGGGCGATATAGTTTTATTGACCCAACTGCATGGTTTGACAATTTTTGATAAGTTGAGCCCATCTCAACCAATACAATATATCACCCACAAAACTCCTTGCTTCTCTCTGAAATACCTTGCTATGCCTAGGTTTCTCAGTAGCTGCATGCCCATTTTACATATGGGGAAACCAAGGCACAACAAAGCAAAGTGACTTGCTGAAGACTGAGCGGTGGTGCCTAGTAGCAGAGCTGGGAATAGAGCATGAGTCACAGGCCACAGTACTTCTCAAAGATGCTTATTTCAAACATGTTTTAGGGTGCCCTTTTTCATTTGAGACATAGGACCCCATTTACCTCTTCATGCTATGGGTTCTGTGCTCACCCCATCCCTTGCTTCCCCCACCACTATAAATGTATCTCCTACTTATCTGGGAGAGAAGTTATTCAGGATGACCACACGATATTGAAGTGTTGACTAAAATGAAGTGGGGAAGGCACTCATGGGTACATTAACCAGTTGTTTGACATCTAGTCAGTAGACAAGATATTTGAAGCTGCAGCTGTACTAGCCTGAAGGCTGGGGTCCTGTTTGTCCTTCATTTTCCCCCCTTCTTGTTTCCTTCTAAATCTATCCATTGCAGCCTAGAATCTTTCCTGAAATTCTGGAAGGGACTGGATGGGCATTGAAAAATTATAGCATCACACCCAAACCAAAAAATGCCATGAAGCTGAATGTAAGGCCATGCAAGTTGGACTAAAGAATTAATAATGAAAATAACAACACATAATGGCATTCAGCACTTTAGAACAGGAAGTGGAGATTAGCACACACAGTTGGGTCCAGTATAAATGAACAGAGTTGCAGTAGTCTAAGTGGAATTGGCCAGAGCTAAAACTGAACCAGGCTACCAGAGTTTCTTAGGGAAGACGTACCACTTGATCTAGTGTAGTGGTGCTCAATAGGCCTGTGCGAGTAAGCAGCTATTCGATCCGGCTTCAGATCCGGCTGCTTTGGATGCCAGGGATCCAATCTGGAGTGCCAGATCAGGTTCCTGCTTTGATCCAGCCAAAGTGACTCTGAAGCTTCAGAGCCGCCTCGGAGATCCGGCCATAGGGTATAATGGGGAATCAATGGAATAGCTATAACTTCGTTGTTTTTTGTTTGATTTGGATGAAATTTGCAGGGGTGGTACCCTCTGCTGAGAGCATAAAGCCTGCTAAGTTTCAAGAAGACCGGTGCAGGGGTTCAGGGGGAACTGCACCCCAAATTCTTGAAAGAAAACTCGTCACGTGAACGTGTTACACCACAGTGGGGTGAAAACTGCAGGGGTGGTGGCCCCTGGTGATGCCACAAAGCCTGCCAAGTTTCAAGGAGATTGGTGCAGGGGTTTGGGGGGAACTGCACCTCAAGCTGCGAACAGGCAAAACTCGTGACACAGATGACCCTGTGTGTGTTAAGATGCAGTGGGCTGAAAACTGCAGGTGTGGTGGCCCCTGCTCAGGCCACAAGGACTGCCAAGTTTCAAGGAGATAAGTGCAGGGTTTGGGGGGAAACGGCACCTCAAGCTGCGGACAAGCAAAACTCGTGACATGGGTGACACTGTGTGTGTTAAGGTGCAGCAGGGTGAAAGCTGCGGGGATGGTAGCACCCGCTGCTTGTATTGATTATTTCCTCTCCTTAGTCTGTGGTTTTGTAGGTGTTAATTGTTGCTAATTAACTAGTTACATTAGCTAGCAACTGAGCTCATGATTAATTGGTAAATGGTAACACAGTAGCTTAGCAGCTGGGCCTGCAGTAGTTCCCCCCCCAACCTGCCCCAAGACAGACACAGTTGCACAAACACCCATGTCACAAGTTTTGCCTGTCAGCAGCTTGGG